TGCATGTGTTCCTTCGTCATCCTCCACCGTTTGTCCCGTTCTAACGAGCACCCTGTGTAGTCTGTCCCTTCGTCTTTTGGCACTTGAACATCCATCATATGACTTTGCAGATAACGTCTCCCATTAGCACTCGCTATAATACAGCCACAGTTGCTTTGTTATGTAACATACTTAATGCATTGTTATGTTTTTGGGATTTTTTTCAGTGTTGCCACATAACAATCACCGAGCTAATGCTTAGAAAAAAATACCTGTGGATTAACAGAATCTCCTCCGAACTTTCAGTATTCTGTTTCCTGTCGTCTAAAGCTGCCGGCCAATCTGCTCTTTCCTGCTGCTCTTCTCAACCTCTTTCTGTCTCTTTCTTTCTCTCTTTCTCTCTCTGCACTTTATTTGCTTGTTTTCTTCTTTTCCTTCCGTTTTTTGTGCTTGTCTGTGTGTCTGCCTGCCTGTCTTTAGGTTCAGATAGTGCACAAAAAGCTGGACTTCAGCCACGTCACCTCTCGCTGTGGCTCCAAGGACAATATCAAACATGTCCCTGGAGGTGGCAATGTAAGTACTGCTGGAGCTGAAGGCAGACTCTGGTCAGGGTGGACATTTATCACTTTGACCTCCTCCGTACCCTCTCGTTTCAATCGTGGACATTTGTTCATGGTTAGATCGTGGGTGTGCATGATTTACACACCTGTAGCCCGACGGTGTGACGGGTTTGTTACTTTCACAGCCTCAGATCGTCAGCACGTCTTAAACAGCGATGAGATAATGTGCCTAAAAAGGAAATCGATTCACTCTGATGTAAAATCTGAGCATGCATCAAGGTGGGAGCTAATTGAAAACCCTCTCCTCTTCTATCAAACATCTACACGTAAATGGACCGTTTCCAAAGTAACTAGGAATGAATGCACCGTGATTAGCACATCAGTGGCGCCCACCGTTTGCACGTTTGATTGATTTTACTTTTGAGTGTCCACCCGTCCAGATGTTCCTTCCGTTTGCTCAAAACGCCTGCTGCACTATCCGGTTCCATCTCTTGGCTGCTCTCACGACCACCACCTTCCCCTTTTATGGCCAAATTAATGAAACACAGAAGGTGTGCTGGGAATAGTTCACCCCACATCCCCACCCCAGGTGCACATCAGTTGTAAAAATTAATTACATCACATCTCTAAGGATGTTGTGAAAATGTTATTCCTCTTAAATTAGAAAATAAAAAAGCTTCTGTGCTTCTGGGTCAATAAACACGTCTAATCTAATTACATTTCCTCATGTGCCTGACTGCCTTGCACAGCTTAAGATAATTAACCTCCTTTATTTGATTTTCCCGCAGTATTAATCACATCTTCTGCTCCCTTAAGACACATGCATGCAAAGCATGTTTTGCTCACACTGTCTTGATGTGGTTAAAAGCTGGTCATGTGACCCCTCTGAAGATCTGGAACAGAAAGATCCGCTCTAATCCCAGCAGCACCTTGTATTCTTATGCTTTTATGAAACGCCTAGCGCATTTCCCTCTGTGACCACAAAAGATGCTTTTTTCATTTAGTTACATTAGCATTAAAAAGATGAAGACCTGCATGACACGTGACGTAATATGAATTAGGGATATATTTTGAATTAAGAGCATGTTCATTGTATTTAACGTACATGTCAATAATTCAGTTCAGAAAATGAAACTCGAGGTAAATAAATGTTAAAAAAATCCAATCAAATGTCTTTTTTCACACCATCATTCACCACATATTTTAAAAAGATCAACTATTTCAAACATTGCTCTTTACAGCGTTAATAGAAATGAAAGCAGATGTTGACAGAAGCTAAGATGACACACCTGACATCTTTCATGAGCTCTGTGGATGCTGCGGCTTTTCTTCAGAATGAATGAAGGTGATTCGGGGGCATGGCTCCTGTTTGACGTTTGGATCATTTCCACCACTGAGGAACATGCAGATCATTTCAGGTACCTGAGTGTAGAACAGAATCTATCTCATTTTCTGAGAAGTTCAAACATCAGTTCATTATCTTCAAACGGTGACGTGATCGCCACTCTTAGTTTGTCCGGTTTGCTTACGGTGCAGGCTGAGATTATTCCTCTCAACTCAACTAGAGTTCTTCCCGGCACCTGAAGCTGAGGGGAGGAGCTGCTGGGCTCGTGGCTGTGCTGTCTGGCTCAGTGCATTCTGGGATCTGTAGTTTTAGTGGAATATATTCTATTCACCCGCAGGCTGATGAAGCTCTCATGCACATTTGAGTTAGAGAATATTTGAGGTATTGTCAAGGCGATGAGAAACACCAGACCCAAGAATGTAGAAGCTAATGATCTGAGCTTCCACACTTCTTCAGCAGAACCACGGGCTCGTCCCGTCCCTGAAGCACGACACTGATGCAGTAAATCATCCAAAAGGAGACCTGACTAAGTGCTGTAAAGTAAATAGACACGTAATTTGTCCCGCCAGCATTTCTGCCATTTGCCTCATGTAGATTTGTTTTTATTGTCTGGGAAATTGAAGATTGGGTTTTCAACGGCCGTGAGCCACTTTGATCATAATAAGAATAAATAGTTAAATATATAACTCCTAGTGTGATGATTAAAGTTTCACTTTTTAAACTGAATTACTGACATGCATGACCTTTTCAATGATATTCAGTTGTATTGAGATGCACTTGTATGGTACAGTGACAGCATACTCTGCACATATTTTAATATTCAGTTTATTTCTATGTGTAATTTTATTGGGCCTGTAATGCAATAAAGCTGCATATATTAAGTAGAAACTCCAGGTCAGGAAGACAGGAGTAAACGATTGTTTATTGATGGTCCTGATCAGGTGATCAGTCCTCCAGTCTGTCAGTCTGCTCACCACTCGGGAGGAGAACTTTCTGGTTTTACTTTAAACACAACCGTTTCTGATCCCTCTGTATTCATGAAGCTTCCTGTCTCAATCACACACAACGGGCGAGACAACACTGATAAAAAGCAGGTCTGAATGTGACTTGTAAAGCATGTGTTGCCTTGTATTCCGTTTTTCTTTGTTTAATGTGTACTACAGAGCCTATGAATGCTTCGACTGCCTTGTAATGACTGCATTGTGCTCGAGAGCAGATCTGAAATGCACGTGAACCTGTACTGACGCAAAAAGAAACATTGTGATTTTTTTTCCCAGGTGCAAATCTTGAACAAGAAGGTTGATGTGAGCAAGGTGACGTCCAAATGTGGCTCCAAGGACAACATCAAACACAAGCCAGGTTCTGCTTTAAACCTTCCTGCGTTCGATTTACTTTTCCTTGAAACACCATTTTAATACGTTGTGTTTTCATGTTCAACCTGTACTTCCACCCCAGGTGGAGGTGATGTGAAGATCGAGTCCCACAAGCTGAACATCAAGGCCAAATCTAAGATCGGATCCTTGGATAATGTGGGCCAAGGCAACGGACAGACCAACGGACACAAGGTCCACCCGCAACACACACAGTAGCAATGTCAGCTCAAAGACCAGTTGTGCTTCTGCTGACTCACTGTGCTGCTGTTACTGACAGACACCATTAGATGGCGTGAGATAGTTTGATACGAGAAAAACTGTTTTGTTTTCCTTTTCTCTGCCCACCTGTCTGTGTTTGTCCTTGTGCTTGTCTATATTTGGCTGCAGGAGGAAAAAACAGGAGAGAAGACTTCTCCACCCCCAAGTGGCGCTCCAACCACAGGACCAGCAGGCGTTGCCAAGGCAACAGCACCTGGAGGTGGTGTTGTTAAGGAGAATGGCACGAAGGAACCCACACCCACTCCTTTTGGGGGAGATGGATTAAGGGAGCCTCTTAGCATGTCTATGGACAAGCGCATTACTGAGACAAGTGGGTGCATGCACACACACACACACACACACACACACATGCAATGCATAAAAAAGAGACAAAGGGCTATCTTTAGATTTTCACTAGTGACTATTTTTGCTCCTTCGCCTGTCAACATGTTTGGTTGCACAACAATTATAAATATGACGAATCTGCAAAACAAAAAAAGAAAAACTTGAAGGAGGGGAGAAATTAAATGTGGATTTTCAACAGGACTAAAGCAAGGAATCTAGGTTAAGATGCCAATGGCTGCTTTAAAGGGGCCATATCATGGAAAATTCTTTTTTTGGGGGGGAGTTTTTTTTACCATGTGATAATGTTATTTCCTCATGAAAAAAAACATAAACCCGTTTTTGGCTGCTTTCATGCATTTACCTGTTTCAGCTGCAGATTTTGAGTTTTACTTTTAAAATCTTGTAACTCGTCAGTAGAAACTAGTCTCGTCATCAAGCAAAGCTTAAAAAGCTGCATTTAAGCAACATTAAACAGTAAAATAGATGCGTTTGCAGGGTTTGGTAAGTTCCTAATAAAGCTAAATGTTGTCCTGAACTCATTGGATTATTTTAAAAAATAGATTTAAGTGTGTTTATATTAAAGTAAAAACCAAACTAAAATATTCCATTTTATTTGAAATATTATTTATTGACAAACGAAAAGCTGCATTTCCATAATCCTCATTACGCTAACTAGAGTTCATTTTGCTGCTCTAATTTAGCTACAAAAATAAACTTTTTTTGTATTTTCATCATAAAATGTGATCAAAACTTCATTATTCATAATTTTTTTTGCAAAAATAAAACATGTAAAAATTTTGTTATTCTAATTGTGTCTCCAGATTTCCTGTGCCGTGCTTATTATTGCTGAAACAATAATGGTCTACTTGTTAGTAAATATGTTATTGGAATGAGATTATTTCTTATTTGTGGTCTGGTTCATCCTACTCCTGGTTACTACGTGCTCTCCTGTGAATACATATCTGCAGCGGCGATAAAAATAGCCATTTAATGAAATTATGAGCAGACCTACAGAGTGAAGATTAACTATTCCTAAAGGGAAAATTAATCTTCTGACTGCAGCAGGTTTCCAGACTCTCAGAGATGAAAGGAGCAGCATCTTCCTCCAGTGCTGTCAAACGTAGCCTAAGTGATGGATGGTTTTAGCTCTAATACATAAAATACAAAAGCGACGCACATCGCATCAACAGCCAATTTGGCGAGGAGCATCTGGCCATGTTCTTTATTCATGCCTCGTGTTTTCTGAGCCCCGGTTTCTCGTCCTCCTCAGATTGAGTCCCAGCGACCTGCAGATTTTGGCGGGACGTGCATGACGCTCGCTGACCTGCCAATCATCCGACCGACTAACCTAACACGGCGCAGTCACCTCCCTCTGGCCTTCTCCTTCAATTCTCCCACTGCAGCATCAAACTCACCGATTGCCTCTCAGTGTTTCTCTGAGGTCCGCCTGCCAGCTTCCCTGACCTTTGACCTCTCTTCGATCCTGAGTTGACTTTGGCCCTGCTAACTACAGAGAAGACCACTCGTTGTTTGTCTGTGTGTCTCTGTGGGGTTGCAGCAGCTTCTCATCTGACTTAGAAATAATGTCCTAGTGACTTCACGCCTAACGACCAGCTCTAACAATCCAAACACGAAAACAAAACCACCATCAAGTATACTGAGCAGAGTCATTTCTGTTATATTATTAGATTGTTCACCTTATGACTCTTAAGTGCTGTTTAAACACTTTGTTCTGGTGTCTGTAAAAGCCCCGCCCATTCCAAAAAACCCGCGATTCTTCAGTCTCGTTATCACCTTTCTCCCCACCCACCGTGCCCTTTTCCTTGTCACTCCACTCATCATTACACGATATCCCATTCCACTCCTCCTGGTATTATTTTCGAAAGCTTTCCCTCTAAATTCATCACTTTTTAAACATTTTTAAATGTTTCCACTTATAGCGTGACACTCACAGTTAGTAGAAGCGGTCACTGATTTAAAGTAAGCTGCAGCTGCGATGCAACCGTAAGTGCAAAGAGGTCAGCTGAAGAACGTATGTGGGCTCAGATTATTCTAGTCGTTGTCATTTTTGTATGCATTAAGGCATCTATGAAGGTCACTTCAACTACAGTTACAAACAGTGTTCAGTTATGCAATTGTTATAGAACAATAGAGTAGAAGAGGAGGATTACAGAAGCTCTGAAGCTCCTGACTGGTTTAGACCAGAAGAGGTATTTGACCTCTGTTTTTTCCCAAATACTCAACATCACTTAATTAAAATAGAAGATGTGATCTTCAACAGCAGCATTATAAGTATTAGCTGTTGCAGGTTAAGCTGCAGGAACATGTAGACGTTGAACACGAAGGGACTGATTCATGATACGTGTATGTAGTACTGGTCAAAAGTTGACTAATTAAAATGTTATACGAATATATAAGAAACATTAATTTATGGTTAATGTGAACCGTCAAGGTAAAACCAGACTGGCTGCTAATTGATGAAGAGCTGCTATTTATAGTAGAGGCAGCTGTTGTGTTTTATGAGCTTGTGTCTCAGAATCAACTAGTATTTGACTCTTCTTTAGGAAATGGTCAAACTTCGGAGGGAGGGGGGGTAATTTAGTGGAATAGGTATGGAAGGCAAGTTTTGTTCGTGAGAAATCAGTCGTCAAAATACTGACTAAGAAAATAAAGTTGCTTGTAAAAAACAAAAACAGATGCCCACAAAGCTTCTCTGATGTCTTTAAGTGAAACATTCTGCAGCCGGATGATTAGTTGGAATATGAACGTCTGCAGTTCAGAGCAGCACTTGTGCAGGAAAGCTCTGAAGTAGATCAGTAAAGGTCACATCACCTCAGCACAAACACACACACACCCTCGCTTTGGCACTCCAGCCGTTGGGTTGGTGACAGTTTTATCAAACCATTTTACTCACACACATAAGCACATGTAAATAAAAGTAAGCACACACACATATGTGTTAGAGTGCAAGAATACCTTAAACACACACAAACAGAATGAAACACACAGTTGAACCCAAAAGCAGGACACTGATCGTGACAGGTTCTGAGTACGACTGTCCGTGCTTTTATCTTTAAACCGTGTGTCGCTCCTGAACATCATCACTGTAGGACACACTCCACCCAACCACCTCTTGTTTCACTTCCCTCCTCTTTCTGTGTCTCTTTCCAACTTCCCAACAGCAATGCATTCATATTATTATGGGAAGATTTTAGTTATGCAGATTTAGATGGTAGGAGGATGGAAAACCACTAAAGTAACCGATAAGAGGGAGCAGGGAGGCCTATCGTTTAAAGGGAATGGTGTTACATTCATGGCCAATCTGAACTTTGTTTGCAGCTTTTTGGTGATTTACTTGTAGGAAACATTAACACGTAGACCAAATCTACTAAGAACTATTATCTTAATATTCAGGGTAGCTGGTTATTAATCTCCTAGTTATCTGCAGCTCTGTCCGGAACATATTTTACCCTAAGTCATTAGTGTAAATAGATAAAGTAAATAGTTTTTAAAATGTCATCATGTTTTCTTTTTTCCAACATGTTTGTGGAGGATGTTGTGTTTATCTCATTTATATAGGCTGCCACTTAATATACAGAATAAAATTAGAAAGAAAGAGAGGGAGGGAGAGAGAATCGTGCCACGCTGGACAGAAGTAGCTGCCCAGCTCCCAAACGCCATGAATGCAGCAGTATTTTGGTGAAGCAGATCCGAGAACGGCTTGCAAACTTGCTAACGTCTTATAAGTGAGCAGATTTGTTTTTAGTAAAACCGGAGGACACTTTGCTCTGTTTTCACCTTCAGTTATAAGCACCTAAAATGATCCCCCAGGAGAACAGGAAAGTCTTCAGCGGGCTGAGTTGTGTTTTAAGAGAATGCCTAAATTCAGTTTTGCGATGATCTAACTGTAGATCCTACCCAACACTGTGATGTGGCTTCCATTCAGACCAAATCATACGAGTAGGAAATCCCCTTCCCCTGCTTACGGCATCCGAGGCCGGGAGGGTCTCTGCTGGAAACACTGAGGGATTTGTGACGTGTCTGTGGCGTAGCTGTCAGATGTGTGACGTGTTACTACTGCATCCATCCTGTAGAGAGTGCTGCTGAGCCTCTGAAACACTGATAGTCTGGCTCTGTGACTTTACAAAGGCTGACTGATGAATATCCCCATCAGAAAAGCCACAGTAGAGCTCCACACTGTCCTCGTTTAAACAAGCATACATATTATCGTGTCTGGAAGTTCACTTAATGCTATCAAACACATCTGGATTGTGTACAGTTCCCTGAAAATAAGTCCTGTGCACGCTGAACACAGTCCTGTTCAGTTCTTGATGCACTCAAATGGTGTAACTGTACGCAAGTTTGCTTTACTGTATCCTGGTAAAACCTTGTCAGCTGTGTACTGTGCGTGTGTGCTTTTGGGAACTAAAACCGTCTTGGTAGCTATAGTGAAACTTACTGTAATCAAAGAGCAACTGATCAAGAATTCAACAACTGAAACTAGACGTGTTACAGCGCCATATGAGCATATTTATTAATTGTGCTGTTCCCTGCAAATCATTCCCATGAGCTGCCTGAAAGAAACACACGCCACATGACACATGCGTGGATCATATGTGAAAATAATAATGTGAACCTGTTTTTTTTCCGTTCCAGGAACAGATTATGAAAGGTTTTGAAGCACTTTGATAAATGTAGGGTTGTTTTGCTGGCAAATAGGAGCAAGTTGTAGTTTTCTTGTGTCTAAGAAGCTCAATGTGGGAGTGCATCACCAGACGAGGGGATGCTTGTTTGGATTATTACGTTGGTACCATTTTAGCTTAGTGGACTTTAGTGGTACTTGGGTCATCGGTGCTGTGCTGTTGATGGTTTGATGGTGAAACACTCAACCCTCCAGTCTGCCCTTGTCTTGTTCTCCTTTCATTCACTGGGTTTTTACATTCTGGCCAAGCTGCAAGGTCACTTTTACCAAGCAGGTACTTATATGATTAAGGCTCAGAGCAAAAGTAAGTAACTAAGTAACCTTTGTTTCTATAGCGCCTTCACAGATAAAATTCACAAGGTACGTCACATTAAAGCTGAATAAAATACACAAACCTAAACAAATATAAGAATAAGATAAGCGATAAAATTATGTAAAAGCAAGTCTAAAAAGCCAAGTTTTAACATTTTTTTAAACACACAAAAGGAATCAATGCTTATTTATTAACCCCTTAAAGAGCAAGTCACCCCCAAATCAACTTTTTTTCTCTGATAATCTATATAAACGAGTGTCTAATCGTGCTGTAGACATGTGCAGTCAATAATTTGGCACTTTAGTGCATCTTAGTTAAAATTTAAATATTCTGCTTAAAACTATCAGTGTTGTGTAGTTGTCAGGTAAAAACCTGCACTACATTTGAATTTAAATCTGCTATCGCTATTGGCTAAGAGGTACACTATGACGTTAGCTGGGACATTATGATGTCACAATGTCGTTGTGAGCCTGCATGTGTGTGTATTTGTTAGTGGCTCCACCCTCTCAGTCTGCTAGGCTACAGCATTTGCGGCATTTTTCAAACAGGAAGTGGAAGAGGAGTAAGACTCTGCTAGGGGGTGACTTGCTCTTTAAATTTCCAGGTTTCAGTAACGCATTGGGGCTTTGTCCCATGGGAATGCTAATGGGTTAAAACCCTCTCTGGTTTGAGAAACTGCACCCCCTACGCATAAACCAGGCATAGAATTATGTGTTTTTTAAATATCATTAGAAATGGAAATAGGGACTTGTAGCGCTGAAATTAATTTCACTTTTGCTAAATTAGACCACATTTACGCTTTTATTCGGGAGAAAATTACAGAAAAAATAGCCTCTTGTTTTTGCACAGGAAGCCAGACTTACCTAATACTATTAAGGACTTTACCACTTGTAGTTACTGCTCATTACTACATCTAACATTTAAATAATGCACTGCTGTTATTTTTGTAAATCATATATGTAGAAGTGTAATATTGTTCAGTTTATGTGCTCCATATTATTCAGTATCTTTAGACTCCTGTCAGATAATCAGTAGAGATATTTCACATCCTTGTAGATAAAAACATGAGGACTGCATTATTTATTTACTACTCAGTATTAATTAGTGGAGGTAATGTTGCTTTGCAGCTTGAACCAAAATGAATAATAACACATTTCCTCTGATGTCTGTCCACAGCCGTCTCATGTACCAACACACCTTCACGTGTATCCCACACTGTCCTTGTAAATATACACCACTGTGTTTTTATCACTCCAGAGAATCCAACAAAATAATGGAAAAAATACCAATAAAAAGTTAAATATTTACTTTTTAAAGGGATGTTGTGGAGTTGAGCGTTCATCAACCTATTTCTGTTCAGATGGTGTCATCAATGAGACTGAGAAAGGAAAAGTGTACTTTTTCTTCTTTTTGTTTTCAGAGTCTGCCTTTTTTCCACCCAGAAAAGGGCTGCTTGAAGTTTTAAGAATGTTTTTAACATTGTGTTCAAGACGCAAGATTATGAAGCCATGTATGACGTTTGTCTCTGTCCTGTTTTGGAAGAAGCACGAAAACACAAAATCGGACTGCAGAGCAGGAAGGGAGGCGGTGTGTGGCGTGTGTGTAAGCGATTATCAGACTTTGCTTTATGAAAGTAGGTAGCAGCAGTGACACACACCTGTCCGCTCTCTCTTATGCCTACCACCACCCCCTAACCAGTCTAACAATAACTAGAGTATGTCTTTTGGCACGTGGTTCCCAGTCATGTCCTGTATTAGACAGCTCCTGTACTGACACCTTGACATATCTACCAACACTGGACCAGATCAAAGCAAACCTTGGATACATTTAGCTTCTTAGTTTCAACAACATACATATTTAGTAATACATAATTGTGTAAAAGATAAAAAGGAGAATGATAAAACTCTGTGTTGGTAGATATGCACCTGGAGGTCCTACGTGTGTCTCCCTCCTGCAGAGGGTCTTCTGCCCTACAGCACTGAAATAGCAGCAGATAATAAACGTGTCCTCTACCAAGTGCACATCCGTGGACTGGCGTGTTGCCCAATTAAATCAAAGAGCTGTTTAAAAGTCACGAGGGCAAGAAAATAAGTTTGGTGTTAAATTATAAACCAAGCTGCATTTGATGCTCTGCTGACCCGTACGTGCCGCCTACTAAATTCTAAGAGTGTTTTATTTTTTTCTGTACTGCTGGGCAGAAGATCCTCTGTAGTGTGTGCTGTGTTGTTGTGTAGTGCACAGCGCCATTGCAAGAGCATGCAGGAGACAACAAACGAACAACTGGTTGTTAAAGGCATCTGTCCCTTTTAGGTCGTGCACATCTCCCCCTTCAGTTCTGAATATTTGGTATGAAAGAGGTGTTCATTGTGATTAATTGTTAACTAGTGACGTGAATATTAATCATGAAATAAAAAGATGAGCAAAAGAAGAGATTGTCAGCGGTGTGTCGTTTCTTCGTAATTTCTTCCACCAGCACCTGGATGTACTCAGTCACTCATCTCCTGTATCGCTAATCCTCATTAGCATCAGCGGGCAGGAGGCCGGGGACACTCTGGACAAGGCAGTCAGTCATAGTTCCACACAGAGAGAGAGAAGACACACAATCAGTCACACACTCACTCCTAAGTCTCATACAGACGTGGACAAAAAAGTTGGTACCCTCAGGTCAATGAAGAAAACCCCACAATGGTCACAGAGGTGACTTGAATCTTACTAAAGTACTAATAAATAAAAATGCATGTTAAATGTTTTTGGGAGGAAAGCAGAACCTGCAGAAAACCCACTGATGCAAGGGGAGACATGCTACCTTCATGCAGAGAGGTTTTAGTTGATTCTTTTCTACATTAAGGTAAACAAATATGTGCATTATTAGTGTCACGAATACCGGTATTTATACATAAAACAATTTGAATGAATCTCAGAGTTTTTTGGGTCTATTTTTTACATTTGGATGAAATAACAAACATCCAGATTCCATGGGGTCTAATAGAAGCCATGTTGGTTATATTTACTCTTGAGTTTGACAGCTATCAGTCTAAAGTAATGTGAAAGATATTTTTGCCACACAGATTTGTTTCTGCTTCGAGTCCCAATTAAATGACAACTCATCGTAAACTCAAATATTCCAAATGATTTTCCTAATAAAGCAAAATCTGACATATAGTCTAAAAATATAGTTGCCTCTTGTAAAACCACAGATTTACTGTGATCAGTTTTTCAGACAAATTTATTTCTGTTTCAGCTGTAGCCACACCCAGGTCTGATGACCACCTGGCCTGTAGAACGACATCATTTGTAGAACATGAAGTAAGCTAAAAGACCTCAAACATTTTAGGTCCAGGTCTAAAAACAATTTACAAAAGTTAGAAATATAAAAGCTTAAGAACACAACTGCATGCCTAGTTTCATATTTATGGAAATAAAATTATTTTAATAAACTCAAATTTAAATGTTTAAAGTAAATTGATTGAAACCATTCATGCATTTAGGGTGCCATCTGCTGGAAATTTGCTTTAGTGATTCAAAACATTCAAGTGCTGCTCATAAAATTAGAATATCATGACAAAGTTGATTTATGTCACTAATTCTATTCAAACAGGAAAAACTTGTATATTAGACTTATTCATTACACACAGTCAATGCTTTTCAAATGTTTATTTCTTTTAATTTGATGATTATAATTGATAACTAATGAAAATCCCAAATTCACCATCACAGAATATTAGAATATTGTGAAAAGGTTTGCTATTGAAGACCCCAGGTGCCACACTCTAATCAGCTAATTAACTCAAAACACCTGAAAAAGCCTTTAAATGGTCTCTCAGTCTAGTTCTGCAGGCTACACAATCATGGGGGACTTAACTTGGCAGTTGTCCAAAAGACGACTGTTGACACCTTGCAACAGGAGGGCAAGAGCATGGACGTAATTTTTTGGGGGGACAGGGGGGACATGTCCCCCCCCCCCACACACACACACACACACACTTTTTCCAAAGTCAAGTGTTGACCCCTGCACTTTTTACCATCTAAAAACAATATTATACTATATTAAATTGACACTGGCCGAGCTCTAGGACCAAGCGGAAAACCAAGCCTGTTTTCCATTAGAGCATAATGTGAAGATCCCCCCCCCCCCCCCCCATGTCCCTCCCACTTCTACAGTGAAAATTACGTCCATGGGCAAGACACAACGTTTATTGCTCAGGAGGCTGGCTGTTCACAGAGCTCTTTGTCCAAGCACATTAATAGAGAGGGAAGGACAAGATGTGGTAGAAAAGTGTACAAGCAATAGAGATAACCGCACCCTGGCACTGATTGTAAAACAAAATTAATTCAAAAATGTTGGCGAGATTCACAAAGAGTGGACAGCAGCCTGCAGCGGACACCTGAGCTGTGCCACAGACTGATCAACTCCATTGCTGCAATAATCCAGGCCAAAGGAACCCCAACTAAATATTGAGTGCTGTACGTGGTCATACTTTTCATGTTCATAATTTTCAGTTTGCTAACATTTCTAAAATTAAATTTTTGGCATTGGTCTTGAAAGATATTCTAATTTTCTGATATATTGAATTTAAGACTTTCATTAGTTGTCAGTTACAATCATCTTAATTAACAAAAACAAACATTTGAAATATATAAGTCTGTGTGTAATGCATGCATTTATATAAGTCTGTGTGTAATGCATGCATTTATATAAGTCTGTGTGTAATGCATGCATTTATATAAGTCTGTGTGTAATGCATGCATTTATATAAGTCTGTGTGTAATACATGCATTTATATAAGTCTGTGTGTAATGCATGCATTTATATAGGTCTGTGTGTAATGCATGCATTTATATAAGTCTGTGTGTAATGCATGCATTTATATAGGTATGTGTGTAATGCATGCATTTATATAAGTCTGTGTGTAATGCATGCATTTTTATAGGTCTGTGTGTAATGCATGCATTTATATAAGTCTGTGTGTAATGCATGCATTTATATAGGTCTGTGTGTAATGCATGCATTTATATAGGTCTGTGTGTAATGCATGCATTTATATAGGTCTGTGTGTAATGCATGCATTTATATAAGTCTGTGTGTAATGCATGCATGTATATAGGTCTGTGTGTAATGCATGCATTTATATAGGTCTGTGTGTAATGCATGCATTTATATAAACCTGTGTGTAATGCATGCATTTATATAAGTCTGTGTGTAATGCATGCATTTATATAAGTCTGTGTGTAATGCATGCATTTATATAGGTATGTGTGTAATGCATGCATTTATATAAACCTGTGTGTAATGCATGCATTTATATAAGTCTGTGTGTAATGCATGCATTTATATAAGTCTGTGTGTAATGCATGCATTTATATAGGTCTGTGTGTAATGCATGCATTTATATAGGTCTGTGTGTAATGCATGCATTTATATAGGTCTGTGTGTAATGCATGCATTTATATAAGTCTGTGTGTAATGCATGCATTTATATAGGTCTGTGTGTAATGCATGCATTTATATAGGTCTGTGTGTAATGCATGCATTTATATAGGTCTGTGTGTAATGCATGCATTTATATAAGTCTGTGTGTAATGCATGCATTTATATAGGTCTGTGTGTAATGCATGCATTTATATAAGTCTGTGTGTAATGCATGCATTTATATAAACCTGTGTGTAATGCATGCATTTTATATAAGTCTGTGTGTAATGCATGCATTTATATAGGTCTGTGTGTAATGCATGCATTTATATAAGTCTGTGTGTAATGCATGCATTTTATATAAGTCTGTGTGTAATGCATGCATTTATATAAGTCTGTGTGTAATGCATGCATTTATATAGGTCTGTGTGTAATGCATGCATTTATATAAGTCTGTGTGTAATGCATGCATTTATATAGGTCTGTGTGTAATGCATGCATTTATATAAGTCTGTGTGTAATGCATGCATTTATATAGATCTGTGTGTAATGCATGCATTTATATAAGTCTGTGTGTAATGCATGCATTTATATAGGTCTGTTTGTAATGCATGCATTTATATAAGTCTGTGTGTAATGCATGCATTTTATATAAGTCTGTGTGTAATGCATGCATTTATAAAAGTCTGTGTGTAATGCATGCATTTTTATAAGTCTGTGTGTAATGCATGCATTTATATAGGTCTGTGTGTAATGCATGCATTTATATAGGTCTGGGTGTAATGCATGCATTTATATAAGTCTGCGTGTAATGCATGCATTTATATAAGTCTGTGTGTAATGCATGCATTTTATATAAGTCTGCGAGTAATGCATGCATTTATATAAGTCTGTGTGTAATGCATGCATTTATATAGGTCTGTGTGTAATGCATGCATTTATATAGGTCTGTGTGTAATCAATATATTTATATAAGTCTGTGTGTAATGCATGCATTTATATAGATGTGTGTGTAATGCATGCATTTATATAAGTCTGTGTGTAATGCATGCATTTATATAGGTCTGTGTGTAATGCATGCATTTATATAAGTCTGTGTGTAATGCATGCATTTATATAAGTCTGTGTGTAATGCATGCATTTATATAGGTCTGTGTGTAATGCATGCATTTATATAAGTCTGTGTGTAATGCATGCATTTATATAAACCTGTGTGTAATGCATGCATTTATATAAGTCTGTGTGTAATGCATGCATTTATATAAGTCTGTGTGTAATGCATGCATTTATATAGGTCTGTGTGTAATGCATGCATTTATATAGGTCTGTGTGTAATGCATGCATTTATATAAGTCTGTGTGTAATGCATGCATTTATATAGGTCTGTGTGTAATGCATGCATTTATATAAGTATGTGTGTAATACATGCATTTATATAGGTCTGTGTGTAATGCATGCATTTATATAAGTCTGTGTGTAATGCATGCATTTATATAGATCTGTGTGTAATGCATGCATTTATATAAGTCTGTGTGTAATGCATGCATTTATATAGGTCTGTGTGTAATGCATGCATTTATATAAGTCTGTGTGTAATGCATGCATTTTATATAAGTCTGTGTGTAATGCATGCATTTATAAAAGTCTGTGTGTAATGCATGCATTTTTATAAGTCTGTGTGTAATGCATGCATTTATATAGGTCTGTGTGTAATGCATGCATTTATATAGGTCTGTGTGTAATGCATGCATTTATATAAGTCTGCGTGTAATGCATGCATTTATATAAGTCTGTGTGTAATGCATGCATTTTATATAAGTCTGCGTGTAATGCATGCATTTATATAAGTCTGTGTGTAATGCATGCATTTATATAAGTCTGCGTGTAATGCATGCATTTATATAAGTCTGTGTGTAATGCATGCATTTATATAAGTCTGTGTGTAATGCATGCATTTATAAAGGTCTGTGTGTAATGCATGCATTTATATAGGTCTGTGTGTAATGCATAAATTTATA